GTTTATGTCCTGTTGTGGCATGGGCTAAATTTGCAGAAGTGCTCTAAAGCTCGCCAGAGAATTTCAACATTTTTGTGTACAGAACTGTTTTTGAAATCCAATGCTAGATTGCTGGGGAGGGTGCAAAGAAGGTACTAGCACACCCTCATCTGTATCCCCCACTCTCCATGTTGCAACACAAGCAACCGATACAAAATGCCCGTTTGTCTGCAGCTCCTTCAAAAACCAAGAGAAGCTGCTGCTTTGTATCAGGCAGAGGGGTGCATGGCGTCCTGAATTCTGCCTTCTCCTGCAGCCCAGTGATGAGGGACACAGAACTGCCCCATGACACGAGGAGCATAAGGGTGTGGGAGTCATACTTCCTCTTCAATAATGAAGCTAAACCCCAGAAAGTCATGGAATAACTGTACCCAAGAGGACTTTCAGCTTCTTACACACATACTTGCTCTATCTGATCTTGGCATTGAAATGAAGACGCAGTGAACTCTTTCTAAAGGAATAAAGATACAGAGGGGTTTTGGTTTTCTGGCATGGTCCAAAGTCACCATAACTTAATAAGCATCCTCAGAAGTTTTTTTAACATGAAACTGTTAATGCTGCAAGGGCTTAAGTACATTGGTAGATACAGTTGTACTCCTTTATCTATGTCCTGTGATTGTGTAAGCATATGGAGAAATACATGTGCTTTGTGCAGAACTGGGGAGTCTTTATTTTCTGCCTCTTCTGCAAAGAAATCGTTGAGAGTGGCATAGAGAAGGCATAAGCATTTAAGTTCAGATCACTGGTCTGCAACAATTATTCAAATAAGCACATATGCTTAATTTGGTGAGGCTGTTCCTGGGAGTGTTGGCCTTTCAGGATCCTGCTAAGGTTGTAAGGGGGAATAGCTTCTTTAGGTTGCAGCCAAGGCCAGCTCATGGGGCCTGCTTATCTCCCTGGATCTGTTACTGGGCTAGGCTAAACTCTCCATTTCTGCAAATAGATAAGCACTCCTCTCTGTACCTCTGTTAAGTACTAATACCTCAGTACTGGTTACTAAGATTACCCCTGCTGAATTGTCACTGCTCTGTTCCTATGCTGGGGGCAGAAAACTCCGTATTCTGGCACTTAAAAGTCCCAGCCAGCACTCTGAAGCTGTCTGACTTACTTCTGCTTTTCGACTGTAGCCAAGAAACAGCAAATCTTGTTCTGACCTTGCTGCTTACGTGTCTTTCAGCACAAAATACTGCATGATAGGAGTTTTTCCTGTGGTCATTTCTGATTCCTTTAAGGCTCCACTTATGTCTGACACCACCACAAAAAAGGAATGCTAGCATAACCAAGCTAAACTTGGTGTTGAGTTTGCCAGCAGGGTTGAGGCCTAGGAGAAGTAAGCTAGTATGGCACCATGCAGAATGCTCTCCTTGAATAGTTTGTCTGCTCTCGTCTGTTACTCCCTGTGCTTTGTGGAGTGGCAAGGGCACACTTGCATTCCCATGCAGAGGATGCTAGAGAACAGGTGGCCCCAAACCAGGGTTCATTCTGACACCCAACACAGCAGAAAGACAGACAGGCTGGTTTTATTTGGTGTCTGCTAGTTGAAGAAGACACAAGCAACTTTGAGGATAAACTTTTTTTTTTTTTTGTTGCATCTCTTTACCCTCCGTAGGTATGTGGAGTTCAACTTGGTTTATGACAGAGGTACAAAGTTTGGCCTCCTGACACCAGGATCAAGAATTGAAAGCATTCTCATGTCTCTGCCACTGACTGCAAGGTAAGGGCATAAATATGTGGAGTTGCAGGTAGGCATTGTCCTTACTAAAATACTTTATAAGATTAAATCAAAGCTCTCTCCTGGTGTCCAGTCTCTTTAACAGTGGTTGGTCCATGCTTGATACAAGAACTGGACAAATACATGCAGATGCTTTTCTGGTCTGCTACACTCACACAGCTGCCAGTAATGATAAAAATATCTAGAACATAGCCTAGATATTTTCTGACAAAAAAATAAAAAGGTATTTTTTGGGCTTAGTTCCTTTTGATAAGATTTCCCCTGCTTGTTCCATGGGTTTTTGTAGTCCTGACAAGCCTGTGGTAAGCAAATTCCACAATTAAACTGTGTTGTGTGAAAAAGTGCCTCTTGGTTTTCTACTCACACCTGATGACTTCATTCGTCTTCTTCAGTGAGGAACCAGATTTTCTTCCTGTTCATTTTCTCCGTAATAATTTTTATTTTACAGGCTTCTGTTTTGTTCATAGTCTTGCTTTCCAGGCTGACAAGTCTGCCTCTTTTTAGTCTTTGTACAGTAGCTGTTCCATACCTTTGAACATATTTGCCACTTTTCTCTAGGCTTAAGTTTTCTATGCCCTTTCTGAACTGGGGATAAGGAACAGACAACTTAAGCTATATATGTGTATCCAAGATGCAGGTGTACTGCTGACTCATACAGTGGCATAATGATGTCTTAGTTCATTACTCCTTTCATAATCCTAACATGCTGTTTGCTGGTTTTGACTACTGCTAAGCACTGAGCTGGCTTTTTCATAGAATTGTTATGATGCCAAGATCTTTTCTGGGCAATAAATGGTAACTCAGTCTCTCAATGTGTACGTAACTTTTTTCTGTGTGCATCACTTCAGATCAATCAACAGTGAATTCCACCTCCCATTTTATCACTCAGTTGCTTTGCTCAATATTAACGCTTTTCACCTTTTTAGGTTTTAACCGACCTTGCTTAATCTGGCAATGCCAGCAAACTTTCATTTACTGTTTATGCCCTTTCCTAGGTTGCTTTTAGATACGCTGAGTAGCACAGGCCCTATAATGAATTTCCTAAGACTCCGTTAGCAATCATCTCCCCTCGCTAGGGTAACTGATCTTTGCCTGCTACCCCTTAGCCATGAAGGTAGCCCTGGTCATACCATATAGCTTCATCCCACTGCCAACACCAGACGTGTCCCTCACCTAGTGGTGTAAAACGGTCCTACTTTTTTGATTTCATTTCTGGGATGATCTGGTTTTGCCTGTTTTCGTCAACATAAGTAGCTCACTCACAGCATGAATGGGTCCTTCCTGGGAGAAAAAAAAATGGGAAAAGGTTATACCCATCCCTTTGTGACTGTTGACACTTTTCTTCCTCTGTTATGCCTCTTAATCGTCTTTTCAATAGAAAGTGGTCCCTCATCAACTTTGTTTTTAAAACCAAGATTCAGTAAGGACTTACAGTGTTTCCAGTCTACCTTCTGGAAAAATTTGCCCTGGGCAGCTGAAAATACTGCATCAGGATCAAATGATAAAAATCAAAGCTGGTGATTTCCCTTAGGACTTGCATCTTCACTCTCTTTTGTCTCGGTTCTTTTCTGGCTCGTATTGCTTGTGATGTTGGTGTGTCACAAGAGACTGCTAAAAGATCTTTGCAAATAAACCTGCATGGATTGTGGGGCAGGGGGCGTTGCTCTTTCTTTTTTTTAATTTGTTCTTCCAGCCTTTCCAGAAGTTGGGAAAAAGGTTGAGCTAACATTTCTCCTGTCTCTTCCGGTGTTGTTTGTTTTTACTGAACTTAATGATTTGTAGCCATATCTGTCTACTTGATGTGAGAGTATCAACTGTGAATGTAGCTTTGCATCCTCAGAAAAAGACAACTCAAGTCCAAACACAGCCTGGTGTGGGAGAGGTGGCAGCCAGCTGGGTAATCTGAGTGAGTTTCCCCTCTCCCTGCAGGTGGGAGTACATGCACACCCCTCCACAGAGCTCGAAAGAAGCAGAAATCCTGGAGGTTCTGCGCAATCCCAAAGACTGGGTGCACTGACATGGATCATGAACAAGATGGATTGCTTACACTGAGCCATTATGAAAGAACAGGAACGCCTGCAGACCAGCTCATTGGAACTGCTGTTGCATGGCGGTTTAGCATAGCTATTTATATGCTTACCTGGTGCCTTAATAATGCTGTAGACGTGTTATAACTTGCAAATATGTGAACTCATTCTTTAAGGTTGATCAGCTAGTATTATCACCCCCTGTTGATGTTGCCTGGTAAAGGACTGGTGATACCCTCACAGGACTACTCTGCATGCTTAAGAACTTCCTCAACTGATTTGTTTGACTGCAAAATGGTAAACTACTGTGAAGTGTTCTCCCAGTGGAATGAAAGCATTATCTGTGCCTAAAAAGCACTGCTTACTCCTAGAAAATGGTGGGATGTTTTAGAAATTATTTTTTAAAATAATAAAGGGAATATTTGATATTATTTTAAACTGTAAAGTCTGCTTTCAGGAAGCTGTGAAAAAGATGAAACTATGTCTTTTTTGAGGCTATCTACAATGACTTGAGAAGGGGAAAGTGTCTTAAAATGTGCTGCAGTAGCACAGCTTGACTGATCAGTAACTGGGAGGTTCTGGGTTGGGGTCCCAGTCTTGCCTGATGAGAGCAGAAGGCTGGTTGTCCATTTTGAGGAGAAAATCTTTCAGCACTGCGCATGTCAGAGAGGATAGCAACCTGCCTCGGGCCAGCTCCTTTACCTGTCAGGGACAGATCAGGAAGCTCTTGGGTGTTGCCCCGAGGTCTTCCAAATAGCACTTCACACTGTGCCCAGCCCCAGAATTCTTGTGCTTTTTCCCCTAGCACGAACCTCGTTGAGGACCCCGTGGGGAAAAGCGAGAGGGTGTCCTGTTCCCAGCCGGCTGAAGAAAAAGGTACTGCTTCCTCCCCGTCGGGGAATCGAACCCCGGTCTCCCGCGTGACAGGCGGGGATACTCACCACTATACTAACGAGGAATGAGCTGATAGTGTGTTGGCTTCCCGGCAGGATGTGTTACAACATTACCTATGGCAGGGGGGCCCCCCAGGGGGGGGCTGCCTTGGCGCCTGACCGGGCCGGCTGCCCTCTGCTCACCAAAGTCAAGCTTCCCCTTGGGCTCCCGTGTTCGCTTCCATGTCACGCTTCCTCCTCAAAGAGCAGGGAAAAATTGAAAGCTCAATAAAATTCAGTGATTTTCTCTCCCCCGAAGGAAAAGATAGTTGGCCCGTACGGGGATCGAACCCGCGACCTTGGCGTTATTAGCACCACGCTCTAACCAACTGAGCTAACTAACCGGGGTGCCCAGCGTTGATTGCTACAACGGACTCTCAAAACTTTCGTTTTTCTGTGCGCCCCCCCTCCCCGCTCCGCGGGCGGCGTTTAGCGGGGCCCACGCCGCAGACGGGGCTCAGGCGGGAGGAGGAGGGGGAGAGCTCCCCGGGGGTAAAAGGTATTGCCTCCTCCCCGTCGGGGAATCGAACCCAGGTCTCCCGAGTGACAGGCGGG